GAGCGCGCGGGGCCTGCCGAGAGCGCGCGCAGCCGGGCGCGGCGTGGGTACCCCAGCCGCGGGCGGCCGCCCCACAGCCCCTGACGGCGACCATGGCGACTGACAGTAAGTGCGGGGCCCTCTGGGGAGGCCGAGGCGCCTGGGGTGGCAAGTTCTCCTCCCGCGCGCGCGCGCCTGTCTTTGTGGCTGGCTCGCGGGAGCAGCGCCCGGGTACCCCATCTTCGGAGCGGGGCCCTTGCCAACATGCCCATCATCCCGCGTCACCTGGCAGGACCGGGAGGGCAGGAGGTCTGAGGGCCCCTCAGGAGGGATGTGGCACCTGGCTGGAGGAGACACTTGATGCAGGGGTTGCAGCGGGGCTGGGCCTCGCAGCCGTTCGCTCGCGGACTGCCTCCAGGCCCAGAGCTAGCTTTTAGGGAGCCCAGTATTGGGGCGCTGTGAGTTCAAGGTTCTCCTGGAGTTCTGAGTCAGGTTGGCACGCCCTCCTCCTGCCGGGTGGCCCCAGAGGGCTCTGTTCCCAGGCCCTGAAGCCAGAGACCTTGTCTGGCTGCCACGAATGAGGGGGGCGTGCAGGGAGAGAAGGTTGAGATCCAAGACTGGAATTGTTGGGAGGCTCTGCTCGGCCTGCTGTTGGCATCTTGGCGTCTTTGCTGTTGTTTTGGAAATTAGGATTGCTGCTAAGGAAACTAATTACCTGTAGCTGGAGCTTGACCTGTTAGTGGAACCTCAAAGAGAAGCACAGGGTAGAAGAACATCAAGTCATACTTGTCTTAGATTTGGCATCTAAAGTCCTCAGCAATAGACAGGGCACACAGTAGGGACTTCATTCACTGAATGTACGGTGTGGTTACAGATGTCATTTATAAGGCAATTTTGGGAGATGAGAGGGGACAAAGATGGTGAGGGTCAAAATTTTATTATTTTTTCTTTTAAATGAATACTTACCCAGCCAGAACACAGCTTAGATAGAGTACAGAGGGCGTGAGGTTCTTTTTTCTTTCTTTCTTCTTCTTCTTCTTCTTCTTCTTCTTCTTCTTCTTCTTCTTCTTCTTCTTCTTCTTCTTCTTCTTCTTCTTCTTCTTCTTCTTTTTTGTTAAAAGGTATGCCTTTTATGTCTCCCAAACTCATCATCATCAGGACTGTGGCTCTGCCCTCAACCTTAAAACTATGATCGGGCTGTTGGATGTGAGGGCACACATCAGTAATGCCAACACTTGAGTCGCTGAGGCAGGAGGATGTCAAGTTACAATCCATGTCTCAAAAAAAAGTATATGTATATGTATGTGTACGTGTGTGTGTACACACACATAAACACATGTATGACAAGACTGACACACCCTGTTAAGCAATGGATATCTCATAAAGTGGGGGGCACACAGAGTGAAGCAGACAAGTGTGTAGTCGTTCTCGCGTCTCCCATGTGCCGTGACTTTTTCCAGTGTGGAGAAACCACTGTGCCCTCGATGCTTTTAACAAGGTAGATCAGGTGTTCAGCATAAAATGAACTAATAGAGATCAACCTTTTTTGTTCTTAGTTCTGCTTATATACCCAAAAAGTGTAGCCATCTGGGGAGAGAGAGAGAGAGTCTTGGGGAAGAAACGATAGATTTAGATTTTTATTAGTAAGGTAAGAAAATGGCCTTACTCGTGTAAATGGTAATTAACGAATTCTAGTGTTAGGGAAGTTCTGTCTTCAGGTAAGGGGATGAATGGCAGGTGAGAGGCAGGCGGGAGCATCATGCAGTGAGTAGATGGCCTCACTAGGATGCATTAAGCCTGGGCACAATCTGCCTTAGTGTTAGTTGGTTGCTTTTATTCCACTTTTCTTGTCTCCCTACATTTCTCCTTGGGGGAAAAAACAGCTGTAAAGCCAGGGAAAGTCCAGACTGTTGTACTCTAGTCATTCTTAGAAGGAATCCAGAAGGACCTTCTCTGTGAATATAGCATGTGAGCATATGTACAACACAGAAATGTTTAAAAAACAGTTGCCTGGAAAACAGTCTCGAAAACAAAAAGAATGTGACCCAGAGAGAATGCCCTTGTGTCCAGCTAGCTCATAGTTGGAGGGCAGTTTCCAGAGGTGCAGAGAAGTTGGAGCCTCAGCTGGCTCCCAGCAGTTGTTATGAAATGGTTAAGCCGCTAGGTCTGTTTCGTAAGCGGTGGTATTCAGAGCTGTGTTTGATGTAATGGGTGTTCCAGAGAATTTTGTGTTTGAGAGTGAGGTGTTTATCTTGTTTTCTTTCCTTTATGGCATTTGTTGAATTATTAATACTTTTTATTATGGGTCTTCACTTTTGAGTCACTGTGGCCTGAAGTTTTTTGGAAGTGCATTTGTATGTGTGCGTGTTCATGTCTGCTTTTAAGAACAAATTTTCTCAAGGGGCTAGAGAGATGACTCTTCAGTTAAGAGTGTATACTTCTCTTCCCAAGGACCCAAGTTCAGTTTCCAGCATACATGGTGGGCCACTGACAGTCATCTGTAACTCCAGTTTCAGGGTGTCCCATGCCCTCTTCTGGTCTCTGAGGGTACCATCAATCATCTGCAAAAACTTCCTCACAGACACATACATGCACACACATAATTTTTAAAAATAAATATTCTAAAAAAAGGAAAAAAATCACACAAGAAACATTGTATAAAATATGAATTTGTCAAAGAACAAATAAAATAGTCTAAAAAGAAATAAAAAGCATAAGTTCTCAGGGACAGCGGGCATGTTTCGAATTGTTGGAAATAGCTAACTGAATTATGCCCCAGAAATCTTGGGCAATTTTTGAGTTGCTGGGTCTCTAGAGATGTTGCCGATAAGTATTTTGTATCTTAAGGAATCCTTCTGGTCTCTTTTGGTCATTCTTGGTCTACCGCATGGATGATTTCTGAGTCATTTTTGCCTGGTCCATTCAGAAGTTGATTGTGGCTAACCCATAGGCAAGCTCCACCAGAAGTCACTCCTTCCCTCCCACTTCCTCCCAGTAGCCACCCCTTCCCTTCCACTTCCTCCCAGTAGCCACTCCTTCCCTTCCACTTCCTCCCAGTAGCCACTCTGTCTCTTCCACTTCCTCCCAGTAGCCACCCCTTCCCTTCCACTTCCTCCCAGTAGCTACTCCTTCCCTTCCACTTCCTCCCAGTAGCCACCCCTTCCCT